GCCTCACTCTGAAAACCCACCACCTTCATCGTTCCAGTGAACACACTTCTAGTCTTCCCTTCTCTTTCTTACAAGCATATACATGGTCCTGGGAGAGAATGTATATATATTTTTTAAACCACACACCCACATACACCCCCCTTCATGGATTACTTCCTGCTGTGTGTATTTTTCTGCATCTCTCCTGTTTTCATCTAACAGTGTGACCTGGAGATGATTCCATTGTTTAACAGCCACATGGTATTCCACAGTGGGAGTACTCCCTGTGGGGGCCTCTGTCCCCACCTCCTGGTATTTATGCCTGTGTGTAACCCCTGCTGTGACTGTAGGCTAAGCTTCGTGACTCGCTTCTAACGAATAGAATAAGGCAGAGGTGAAGGGGGGGTGACCTGGAGACAAGTCACAAAAGGCAGGATTCAAGAGGTCCACATGGAGAGGAACTGAGACCTCTTGCCAACAGTCACATGAGGGAACCAGCTAGAAGGGGCTCCTCCAGCCCGTCAAGCCTTCAGATAAGGCAGGCCTGACTGATGTCTTGACTGTGACTTCATGAGAAACCCCAAGCTATAACCACCCAGCTATGTCGTTCCTGAATTCCTGACCTACAGAAACTGTGAGATGATGAATGTGTATTGTTTTAATCCACTCAAATTGGGGAGGTATAATTTGTCATGCAGCAATAGCTAACTGATATACCCCGGATGTCACTTAGCCTATCCCCCTGGATAAACAGCTACACCACAGCCATGGCTTAGCTGTCCCAAACCTGTTCACTCTACAGAGACATTCGTATAGTAAGGATGCACATTCTAAATGTTTAACAACTTTGAGCTAAATTTAAAAGCTGAAATTGAAGTGTTACAAATAATAACTTGAATTACAATCTAACATTTGAATTTCAGCCACTACACAGCACAGGGAAGTGGGGTAGTGTAGCAGTTAAGAGACAAACCTGAAAGCCTGGATTCAGTTCCTGCTGTGCAGCCTCAGGCAAGTCACTTAACCTCTCTGGGCCCCAGTTTACTAACTCATAAATTTGGGCTATTATTAGAACATACTCATAGGATGGTGGCAGGCTAAATGAATTGTCACGTGAAACACCTAGGCCAATGCTGCCTTGTAGAACTTTCTGCAGTGGCTATTGAGCCCTTAAAATGTAGCTTAGTATGACTGAGGCAGATAATTTATAATAATTAAAACTGACTTAAAAAATTTTTAAATATGTCTTTATTGATTTTGGAGAGAGGAAGGGAGAAGGGGAGAGAGATAGAAACATCAATGATGAGAGAGTCATTGATTGACTGCCTCCTACACACCCCTACTGGGGATAGAGCCCACAACCCAGGCATGTGCCCTGGCTGAGAATTGAACCTTGATCTTCTGGATCATAGGTTGATGCTCAACCGCTGAGCCACGCCAGCCGGGCAAAACTGATTTAAATTTAAATAGCCACATGTACTAATGCCTACTGTATTAGATGACACAGGCTTGAAACAATGCTTGGCAAATAGTAAGTGCTTAATAAATGCTTTGTAGGAATATTATCCTGCCAAATTATCCTCCAGAGCATCAATTTATACTTCACCAGCTTGGAGGTCACCCCAGGTATCCTCCTAACACCCCAATCTGATCATGGCCCTTCTCTGCTCAAAGCCCTTCTGTGGTTCCTGATCACCCTAAGGTATTGTCCTAGATTTGCTAATCTCATCATGGTCAGGACTTTTAGCATTCTCTAGAATTACTTTTTCTTGCAGAGATGGGTACTTTTATTTCTTTGTCCACATCTCTCCTTGACTGAGGCCTCGGGAGGGACAAGGTCTGGCACACAGTAGGTGCTTCATCGTGAAAGGACCTCTGTAATCTGGCCCCCGTCATCTCTGCCTCTGTTTCTTTGCCCAGTGCTGCAGTCTTAGCCAACTGTCCAACCACCACCACACCATCTGAGGCCTGTGAGCCTTTGCCCAGGCTGTTCCTTCCACACAAAAACCCTTCTAGGCAGACTCAGACTCATCCTCCCAGCTTATATCCCAGCTGGGCCTTGTCCTCTGTGGGTGCTAGAGCAAGGCACTTCATGTCTCTAAGCCTCAGTTTCCTCAACCATAAAATAGGATGAATTACCAATAAGAGACATGGTTTTGCAAAGTATCTGGCAGGATATTCAGTAGCTCATTAAATCAAGTGGTTAGTATGACTCCCATCCATTTCAAGAGACTAAGCTTGGGTGTGGCTGTCTCCACTATTCACACCCCCATCCCGGGCCCACCCCAGGTACCAGGATTTTTTGTTTTGGGGGGACTTTGAGGCCTCCACTGGAGTGGGGCAGGAGCCAAAACCACATCATCTCTCTAATTTCATCTCCTTCATGGCTCACTTCATGCCTTCCTTGGAGCATTTCTGGGTCCTTGGCTACAGGTCAAATTGGGGACTTTCTCCCTCAACATTCCAATTAAAAATCTATTGTATAACAGTGTTGACAAGGATGTGGAGAAACTGGAGCCCTTGTGTACTGCTGGTGGATGTGTAAAATGGGGCAGTCATCATGGACAATGGTTGGGTGGTTCCTCAAAGAGCTAAACATAGAATTACCACATGACCCAGCAAGTCTGCTCATAGATGTCTGCCCGAAACAACTGAAACAGGTGTTCAAACAAAAACTGTACACAAATATTTAGGGTGGAACTATTCACAATAGCCCAAAGGTGGCAACAATTGATGAATTAATACACACCATGTGGACTATCCACACACTGGAATATTATTTAGCCATTAAAAGGAGGCACTGACACACTACAACATTCATGAACCTTGAAAACATGATGCTCAGTGAGAGAAGCCAGACACAAAAGGCCACAGTGTGATTCCATTTTTGTGAAATGTCCAGAGAGACAGAGAGTGGGTTAGTGGTTGCCAGGGGCTGGGGGAGGGGAACGGGGAGTGACTGCTAAGGAAGATGAGATTGCTTTGGGGTGACGGAATGATCTGGAATTAGACAGAAGTGATGGCTGCACACCCTTGTGAATGTACTTAATGCCATTGAGCTGTACATTTTAAAATGATAAAATTTGTGAATTTTAGGGTGAGTTTTACCCCAATTTTCAAAAATGTGTTGTATAGTCTCCTCTCCTGGGCTGCCTCCGTGAGGTCAGAGACCAAAGCCATCTGTCAGTGCTGCATCTGTGGTGGCCAGCAGAGAGACAGATGTAGGTGTTTAAGAAACATCTGTGGACTGACTGACTGAGGGAATCAACAAAGGCACCTGCTCTTCCTGAGAATGAACACTCCATTTCTGCAAATTCTGGAGTGGATTCGGTGAAATCTTGGCTACAGGAACTGCAGATTTGCTTCTCAGTATATCTCCTCCTGCATCTCCCAACTCTAAATCTGAATTTCTCTAGCCCAGGAACTCAATGGGGCCAGATGCACTTGGTCTTTATTGACTCGAAAGGGCAAATAAGGGAGGACTCAGTCCTTTAGCAAGTAAAACTTTTATTAAATAAACTTTCAGTTTTTCCAGACTAGAGAGGCGTTTTGGACATAAAGATGATGCTTGCAGCTTCTCACCTGAAACACGCCACAGTGACAAGGACCTCTCCAGCCACAAAATTCATCAACCCAGAGTTTCTTCTAAGTCCTTCTCTTGTCTTTCTTGTGTGTGTGTGTGTGGTGTGTGGCAGTTTGTTTCCAAAAGTTGGTTTGCAAGTTGAAACTTCATGAAATTACTAGTAGCAGAAATAAAGTACATTGTACAAATCATGTAGGTCTTCGGTGTGGAGTATAAAAATGGTATTTACAGCCAGTAAACATGGACCAGGACACACGCCACTGCACGCCAGGCCTGGGGGGAGCTGGGTGGGCGCCGGAGACACAGACGAGGCCCCCTCTCGGCCCCTGAGCACACGCTTGCACACGCAGACGCACGGGACACAGGCACACTAGAGAATGTCTTGGAACAATTATCAAACTCTGGAATATCGAAACAAGTTGGTCAGATTTTTTTTTTTCTTTTTTTTTTACTGTGGTTTTTTTTTTTGTTTTTTTTGTGTTTTTTTTTTTTCTGGGTTGGCCAACACATTTTGGTAGAAACAAAAGGGAATGCTGTTTTCCAAAATTATTTTTCTTGAGCTTATTAAGTTCTCTGGCGCCTCGTTTGGCAATAGGCCCTGCTGGACGACCAAGCGAACTTGACTCTGTGCTTCAAGTGGGTTTTCTCGGTTTGGGTAGGTATACAGAGGCACCCCACAGGATCTCCCTCCCAGCCCCAGCTAGGAAACAAAAATCCATTGTTGTTTGATTTTCCCCCCATTTCTTCTTCACTTTTCTTCTTTGTACCTGCTCAGAAAGATCAAAATTAAATTAAAAAAAAATTCTTTGAAGAGGTATCTTCGGCAAAGGGGTGCTTGGCCAGTGCAGGTTGGGCTTGTCCAACGAGCGTGGCGATCTTGGTTATGAGATCGTGAATTCCAGGCTGGTGATCCGAAGGCAGGGAGGACAGGCTGCCTGCCCTTGGGAGGGGGCAAGAGGAGAGGGGGCTCCCACCCACCCCATTTACCCCCGACGGAAAGCTAAGGGCTATTGGTCACATGAGTAAGGCTATGACTGGGGAGAAAGTGCTGGGGGAGGCTAGGGGGCTCTTTTGTGCTGGGGAAGGCAGGATTCTGAGACGAGGGAGGTTAGGGGGTCCCGGAAGCTGCAGCTAGGACCAGGGACACTCAAGCCGGCTGAGCCCATAGGCCCAAGAGAATCGTCGGTGGCAGCGGCCAAAAGTCCTGGAGGTATATCGGTTGGCTGATGACTCCCAGTGCTTCTCCGGCACCCTGGTCTGACAATACAGCCGGGAGGTGAGGAGACACTGGGCTGCCCGGCCAGCCTCAGCCCTTCTTATGTCCCTGCTGAGTGACCAGCTTAGGGTCACCTTCTCTTGGGTGGAAGGAAGTCAGAAAAGTTTGGTCCCATGATCTATACTCAAAAAATATATATACTGTCTATAGCTCTATATATATATGCATATATATATATAGGAAAAGTTGTGATTTAGTTTGGGGAAGCCACCAAGGTTGTGGGGGGTGGGGAGAGAAGAAATCTCCCAGGAGGAAGTGGTGAACTCCTCAGCCCCCAACTCAGGAGCTCCCCCGCCCCCTGCCCTCTTCGGTAGCGGTTCACATTTTGGGAAGGGGGCTAAGGGGAAACAGGAGAGGAGAGGAAGGGCTGGTGTCCAAACTCGGTTGTAATTTACGGAAAAGTCCTGGATCAGTTGGAAGCGGGGAAACCCTCCTGGGGTGGAAGGCCCCTCACCTGGCGGAGAAGGGAGGGGCGTTAGGGAGCTCTGAGCCAGGGCACAAAGGCAGATGACCTCACCTCCCATCCACCCCCTTGCCCTAGCCAGGTTGGGGTCTGCGACCCCAAGGCTCCTAATCTTCTCAGAAAGAGTCCATTTTGGAGTTTGGAGGCTGACAAACCTGGCTTGGAACAGATTCAGGGTCACCCAGTCTGTGTCCTTATCTGGCAACTGGGGACAGATATTCCTGTTTGTGTCTCCTCTCCTCTGCTGCCTGACACTGAAGCTCTTCCGGGAAGGCAGTTTCTCCCCCCACCCTCCAGCCCACCCCCAAGTTTCTGTTCGTTGGCAGCTGTGTCCCCAAATGCTGGAAACAGTGCCTAGCATATAGTAGGTGCTCAGGAAGGCTGTGCTATCCTGGTGTGTTAAAAGTGTATGGATCGCCTGTGAGCTGTTTTTCAAACATGGCAGGTTTCCAAATGTGAGTTCCAAGATGCAGGACTCTGTGACTGCACACCCTTAAATCTGTGGATGCTGACCTAACAGGGCCTGAATACAGTCCCCTAACTGAGCACCTACTTTGTGCCAGACCCCAGGCGAGGCTCTCTGATGACGACGGCAATGGTGATTAAAAAAGAAAAAAAAAATGAATTATTGAGAACTTTACAGGTAGTGGGTCCTGGGCTCAACAGGGAAAACACCGTGTTCCCTGTGTGAGTCCTCCCCACTGCCTCTGGGGGAGATGATTTTTATGAGCCCGTTTCACAGATGAGGCTCATGGAAACTTGAGGTCAGTAGCTAGTTTCCTCACTAGCCCCTTAGGCTCACTTATTCATTCCCCAAAGAAGGTGATTAGTTGATAAAGTTGTTTGCTCTGATGGCAAAATACACTCTTGGGGATTTGTCTGTTTAGAGGGACATTTTTTTCTCGCGTGCTGGTAGGTGGGGCAAAATCCCACTTTCCCATCAACCCATTGGGTATGAGTTATACCAAATAAGAGGAGCTGAGAGAGGGGCCCAGCTGGAAGAGTCTTAGAACAGGAGAGAAGGCCCTCCCCAGAACATTCCCCACTCTACCCAACCTGGCCCCTCAGACAAATTTCTATTCATCCTCCAAAGCCTTCTCCAGGAAGGACTCCGGAACCACCCTCGGTGAGCACTGGTTTCCCTGCTTCGCCAACACAATCCTACCCTCAGGTCCACAATAGGGATTGGGAGTGTCTTCATCCAGCTCGGTCCCTACCAATCCAACCTGAGGGCTCCCGAAGTCTCCTGCAGCAACCTCACC